AWCTGACTTKMTKTWTSYCCTATAAGCAAAATATGTCCTATCCATCTTTTAYTTAGGTCTTTACCCTTATCATTGAAAGAACGGGCAGTGATAAAGGCAGCAACTATAGCCTGGGGGGCTCCATTGCGGACAAAGAATCCGCTTCTCTTTCCCATTCCGAAGAGATTATCCAGCAGACCGCTCCCTCAGAGAAGCTGATCCCAACGTACAGCAATGGTATGGCCTGTCTTTAAGATACGTTATGCATTACTTTGTGAAATAGTATAGTCTCCCCACCCCCCAAAAAAAAATCCTTGTGGAATTAGAGTTCAGTGATCATTTGCTTCTCAAAGAAGGAAGTTCTCAGCTCCTATGCCATAATATATATGTGAAAAATTATAAATTAGCAATGTGTTGTCAAAGACTTTTATGGCCAGAATTACTGGGTTGCTGTGAGTTTTCCATGCTGTGTGGCCATGTTCCAGAAGCATTCTCTCCTGATGTTTCGCCCACATCTATCGCAAGCATCCTCAAAGGTTGTGAGATCTATAGGAAACTAGGCAAGTGAGCTTTATATATCGGTGGAATAATGTCCAGAGTGGGAGAAAGAGTTAGTTAGGCGAGCCCTCATAGTCCGAGGATGATGGTCCTACAAGTGTAGTATCCTGGCGGTAGGTCCATAGGTGACTGTGGAGCCCTATTCTTGACCTGCATGTTCTCCCTCAGTGAGGGCATCGGTTTCCAGGTGGAAGGCTGTTGGCTCGATACGCCTTCCTCTTGGCACGTTTCTCTCTTTCGCCCTCCATTCATGCCTCTTCAAATTCTACAGCACTGCTGGTCACAGCTGACCTCCAGCTGGAGCACTCCCCCTTCCCAGCCTACCAAGATCATCGTAGGGCTGAGATATTTATTTCTGTGCCTTGAATATTGAGGTGATCCCTCGTTAAACCTTCAAAGTGTAGTATCTTGGCCTTGGATACATAGGTGGCTGTGGAGACCTATTCTTGATCCGCAAGTTCTTCCGTAGTGAGGTCATCAGTTTCCAGGTGGAAGGCAGTTCTGGTCAGGGTTGGCTTGATGTCCCTTCCTCTTGGCACGTTTCTCTCTTTCGCCCTCCATTCGTGCCTCTTCGAATTCTGCATCACTGCTAGTCACAGCTCTGTAATACTTCTATGTCGATGCCAATCTGCTCCTAGTCTAGTTTTTACAGGAAAAATGGAGCCTCTCCATCTTCCACTTCCAATTATGTCACCTTGATGGAGGCATGATGGAAATACATAATACATATATTGGAAAATATATACTGGATGTAACCATATTAGAAATAGGAATTAGAAAATACATATGAAATCACAAAGGGATACTTACTTAGGCGATCCCTCGTTGTCCGAGTAGGATAGTCTTCCAGGATCCGTGTTTTGGTGGGTCCATAGGTGACTGTGGAGCCCTATTCTTGATCTGCATCTTCTCCCGCAGTGAGGGCATTGGTTTCCAGGTGGAAGGCGGTCCCGGTTGGACGCGCCTTCCTCTTGGCACGTTTCTCTCTTTCACCATCCATTAGTGCCTCTTCAAATTCTGCAGCACTGCTGGTCACAGCTGACCTCCAGCTGGAGCGCTCAAGGGACTAGGCTTCCCAGTTCTCAGTGTCTATGCCAGAGTTTTAAAGGTTGGCTTTGAGCATGTCTTTCAATCTCTTTTCCTGTCAACCAACATCCCATTTTCCATTCTTGAGTTCGGAGTAGAGCAACTGCTTTGGGAAACGGTGGTCAGGCATCCGGACAACGTGGCCGGTGCAGCGGAGTTGATGGCAGAGGAGCATCACTTCAATGCTGGTGGTCTTTGCTTCTTCCCACACACTGACATTTGTCCGCCTGTCTTCCCAAGAGATTTGCAGGATTTTCCGGAGGCAACGCTGATGGAATAATTCCAGGAGTTGCATATGACGTCTGTAGACAGTCCACGTCTCGCAGGCGTATATATAGCAGGGTTGGGAGGGGAATAGCTTTATCAACAAGCCCCTTGGTATCCCTACGGATGTCCCGCTCCTCAAGAAGAATGCTGCACTCACAGAGTTCAGGCGGTGTTGTATTTCGGTGTCGATGTTGACTTTTGTGGAGAGGTGGCTGCCAAGGGAGTGGAAATGGTCCACATTTTCTAATGTTACGCCATTAAGCTGTATCTCTGGCATTGGAGAGGGATTGGCTAGTGACTGCTGGAAGAGCACTTGGGTTTTCTCGATGTTCAGTGACAGGCCGAGCTTATCTCTTGTCTGTTTGAGGCAAGTGTGAAAAAGTAGGGGAATTCCAGACACCTCCCAACAAAGGATTCCCCCTCAGGCAGCGACCAGCCAGGCTTTTATTTCGAACATTTTTACCCCGCCCTTCTCAACCCCTTAGGGGACTCAGGGCTTTGAAGCTGCAAGGCCATTAAATACAAATCAAGGTGGCCAATTACAACATTGACATGTGCCTCCAACAGACAAGAGTTCTTTCTCCCATCCTGGACATTATTCCACAGATAAATAAAGCCCAGTTGCCTAGTTTCCAACAGACCTCACAACCTCTGAGGATGCCTGCCGTAGATATGGGTGAAACATCAGGAGAGAATGCTTCTGGAACATGGCCATACAACTCAGAAAACTCACAATAATCCATCAATTAGCAACTTTATTTCAGAAATAAAATCTCTCAAACCTCTGGATTTTTCTCCGGGCTACATTCTTCTCCTCTCCTCACGCAATCTGAAAGCCCACCTTCAAAAGAAAGAACCATATGACACATTTATTTTTATAACCGGCAATTTCACGAAGGAAGTGCCACAAAGGCAAATTGCTAAGAATGATTTCCTCCCCGCCTCCTTTTTGGCTTTCAAAGTCTGCATTTGTTTGGCAGAAGGTGAGGCGAGAATGGAGCGATTTGACAAGGAAATCTTGGTTTGCATGTATGTTGCCCTGCCCAATGCGGTTTTGAAACAAAGCCTTCTATATTTTGAGCCTTTTTCACTTCGAATAATTTTTGTATAAGAAAGAAATATAGGAAATGTTGTATGTGAATATGCAATGCATATGAATCCTGTCAATACTTGCCTGGGAAGAAATTTCAATTCTCTGAAGCTTTAGGGAATGCTTCAAAATCTCCATAAAAGTATCTCCAGAAGCACAAACTTTGTTCATCTCTAGCACCATCTTGTTCTACTTCATAGGAAATCTGCTACAAAACAGGAGCTTTTTTGTTGAGTTGCAGGGTCAGAGAAGTGGATGGCAAAAACAGAAGAACGGCCTGCCTCAGGGCAGCATGCTTATTCCATCTATGTTTAACATTTACGCAAGTGACCAGCCACTGCCAGAAAGGACAGAGAGTTTAATCTATGCTGACGATTGTGCCATCACCACTCAAGCAGGGAGCTTTGAGATGGTTGAACAGAAGCTCCCTAAAGCTTGCTCCATTAATGTTTAAATTTACACAAATGACCAGCCACTGCCAGATCGTGCCATCACCGCTCAATTTGAAATGGTTGAACAGACGCTCTCCGAAGCTTGCTCCATCAATGTTGAACATTTAAACAAATGACCGGCCACGGCCAGAAGAGACAGAGAGCTTCATCTATGCTGACGATCGTGCCATCACCGCTCAAGCAGAGAGCTTTGAAATGGTTGAACAGACGCTCTCCGAAGCTTGCTCCATCAATGTTGAGCATTTAAGCAAATGACCGGCCACGGCCAGAAGAGACAGAGAGTTTCATCTATGCTGACAATCGTGCCATCACCGCTCAAGCAGGGAGCTTTGAAATGGTTGAACAGAGCTTAGCCTGTGATTGTGTTTCAGGATCAGGGTGCTTTGGATGTGGGGAGTGATGTCAATGAGTTCCAAGATGAGTTTCAAGGTGGCAATGGTTTAGCCAGGGATATTGATGCAGAGAATGACCAGGAGATCCCTGTTCAAAGTGTAGTTTCCCATGAAAATGTCCCTGGGGGGTGTGGGGGTGATGGTGTGCTTTCTGAATTGTTACCAGAGAGTTCCCATGACAGGAAACATCTGCAGCTCGGGATTTGGCCCAGCTGCAGAAATTAGATAGACAGGAGGAGATAAATCAAAACAGGAGAGCCAAACAGTGGCTTCGGCATTCTGCCAGGCTCCGAGAGAAAAAGATAATAAATTCTCAGCTAAAGCGAAACCAATTTCTCAGCCCTAGAGACATAGCTAATGAGAAGATAAAAGTCCCAAGTACAAGAAATGTAGCATCGTTTGGAATCAAGTCAAGATATTGTCCTTGTTCATGGAAGTTTTGCTTGGAAAATTCATGTTTTAAGCGCCTTTGTTTCATGGTTTTGATTCTTGGATTTTATGCTTCTCTATTCATGCCTTGGATTCATGCCTATTCGTGCCTTGGATTCATGTTTCCTGATTTCTTGCATTTTATTTGGGAAGTTTTGACTTTATTTTTTATGGACTTTGCTGGACTATTGCCCTGGACTACTTTGTTCCTGCTTATCTTCCTACCTAATTGGACTTACCTATTTTTTCGAAGTGTTTTTTTTTTTACTTTACTGCTTTCTAATTATCTTCAATAAAAGGATTGTTTTCCATTCAACGGTGTGGTGTTTAAAGGCTTTTCCTGTCCTGGAGTGCAACACTTTAGACAATTTTGCAGAGATCAGGAGACTGATGGCTCTGATATTTGTTGAAGCTGTTTGCAATTCATAATGTAGATTTCAAAGTATGTATGTATGTATGTATGTTTAAAAATGCAGTAGCTATGTGCCGAGTGTAATGTATTCCTGTGTGGAAAGAGTTAACTGAACCATGGAGGGAATGGCATTCCTAGAGAGGTCATAAATCAAGTGTATAGAACAAATGGATGCAGCGTCGTCCATTATACGTCACTCTGGAATGCAAGAGGTGTGGACTAGTACTGATAACAGTATGCTCGCAATGTTACGATCGGACAGTAAAGAAGCAAGTTTACTATTTGCTGAGTGTTAAGTAGCTTCTAATGTATATAGCTGTAAAATAAAGTAGTTTATAGCCTAAGGTGGTTGCGATTGATCTGTTCCTGCCTTGCTGTGCTGCCGATGTCACTGACAATATTTTCATTGCTTGGTAGAGATGAGTGAGGAAAAATTAGAAAGCATGTCATATAAACAGTTATTTACATTACGGACCCTCATTTGTCTGCCTTCTAGAACAAATTCACGAAATGGTTTCCGATATGAGTATAACTGAAGAAAAGCCGCCAAGCTCACTGGACTCAATCCCTCTGGAATACCAGTCGAGGGAAGAATCAACTGAAATTACGTTGGGCAAGGTAACACACCAGTGGAGAAACCATATGGGTCTGGGAATGAAGCCCACAACAGAGTGAAATATCCTGTAGACCATAGAGGTGATATGGCCATACAAGACTAGGAGGAGGAATCTGTTATGGAACAGAAGGCAGGTTCTGGATAGGACTTCTCTGTCCGACACTCTCCCCATCCCATCTAAGGTTCTCGCATTCTAAATTGATCCAGTATTCTTAAAATGTAGGAGAAAGGATGCAGACTAAAAACAAAAGTCGTTGCGAGTGAACAATGGTAGATGGTTGTCCTCCAATGCCAATACGATAGAAGCCTTTGCTTGCTGATCTGCCCTCAATTGGTCATCATCTTCTTCTCCTTCTTTATCTGGGGGGGGGGGGATTCTCCACTATTGACCACAAATTGTCTCGATTGGACAATACGACGGAAAAATGATTTTAGTGATAAGGCGCTGAGGACTTGTGCTTTATGATTTTATTGTTTTATTGTTTTTATATGATTTATATTATATGTAATGTTTTTAACTGTATTTTATGTTGTTTGGGGGCATTTACTACTAACTGTAAACCACCTCCGGGTTGAGAGAGGCAGTATGCAAATATAGTAAACAAACAAACGAAATTCATTTTAAATTACCATGTGGCATAATTGCTGGTATTCAACCTTTCAAAAGGCAGTCCATTTGCTTGAAATGCCATTGCCATATTTCTTCTGCCTCAATATGGTTTCTACTGGTCTGTACTAGGCTAAACTGGGCTATACTGGGCCCATGACCCTTGTTGGGTGAGCGGGGTTATTAACAAAAGACCCTCCTCATAAATTTACAGCAGAATAACTTATTAGCAGCAGTGTGACACAGCACTAATAGCCCAAAGTGATACAAAGAACAAAAACACACAGGACAACAAAAATACACAGGCCTTCCATAGGAGGCTTCTCTGTATGAAAATAATATGGTTGCACTATTTACAAGAACTAGGTTTCCATAACACAAATAAACAAATACATAGTAGCTTTACATGCAGCAGCCTTCACATTGGAGCTTTCTCACACCAGGCTTCTCTCACACAGAGGTTTACCTCACACTCCTCAGGACAACACTAGCTTTTGGCCCACTAACAGGCTTCAGCCTACTCACTCTTTTCAGAACGACACTAGCTTTGACCCACTGACTCTTAATAGGCTTCAGCCTACTCACTCTTTTCAGAACGACACTAGCTTTGACCCACTGACTCTTAACAGGCTTCAGCCTACTCCCTCTCTTCAGGACGACACTAGCTTTGACCCACTGATTCTAACAGGCTTCGGCCTACTCACTCTTTTCAGGACGACACTAGCTTTGGCCCACTGATTCTAATAGGCTTTGGCCTACTCACTCTCTTCAGGACGACACTAGCTTTGACCCACTGATTCTAACAGGCTTCGGCCTACTCACTCTTTTCAGGACGACACTAGCTTTGGCCCACTGATTCTAATAGGCTTTGGCCTACTCACTCTCTTCAGGACGACACTAGCTTTGACCCACTGATTCTAACAGGCTTCAACCTACTCCCTCTCTTCAGGACGACACTAGCTTTGACCCACTGATTCTAACAGGCTTCGGCCTATTCACTCTCTTCAGGACGACACTAGCTTTGACCCACTGATTCTAACAGGCTTTGGCCTACTCACTCTCCTCAGGACGACACTAGCTTTGGCCCACTGACTCAAACAGGCTTCAGCCTACTCACGCTCTTCAGGATGACACTAGCTTTGACCTACTGACTCTTAACAGGCTTCAGCCTACTCCCTCTCTTCAGGACGACACTAGCTTTGACCCACTGATACTAACAGGCTTCAGCCTACTCACTCTCTTCAGGACGACACTAGCTTTGACCCACTGATTCTAACAGGCTTCGGCCTACTCACTCTCTTCAGGATGACACTAGCTTTGACCCACTGACTCAAACAGGCTTCGGCCTACTCACTCTTTTCAGGACGACACTAGCATTGACCCACTGATTCTAATAGGCTTCGGCCTACTCACTCTCTTCAGGACGACACTAGCTTTGACCCACTAACAGACTTCAGCCTACTCACTCTCTTCAGGATGACACTAGCTTTGACCCACGGACTCTAACAGGCTTTGGCCTACTCACTCTTGACTCACACTTTCGTAATCAAAATGCCAAGCTAATATTTAATATTTCCAAAAATCTTGTTGTTTTGTGTGGCCATCCAGGTTACAGAAGGTGATATTGGACCTTTTAGCTCTATCAAGCTCCCTATTATTTTCACCCCGGCAGTTCTTGGGAAGGCACAGTCTGATTTTGAAATCACCTTTGACAATCCAGACTGCACCCCGGTAAGTGCTTGATACCATACCTGTTCCATATATGATGTCCACTGCCTCAGAGTGTGGTGGAGGCTACTTCTTTGGAAGCTTTTAAACAGATGGCTATCTGTTGGGGGTGGTTTGATTGTGCTTTTTCTGCCTGGCAGAATGGGGTTGGACTACTTAGCCCTTGGGGTTTGTTCCGGTTCTATGATTTTGTGATAATAAAACACACCCAAATACAAGCGGGGCTAGGAAGTAGTTTGGGGAGATGTGTTCAGGGGGGAAATGAAGAGTTGAACGCCTCTTTTGGAACATCAGAAATGAACGTTCGACTCAAGATTATTAACAGATTATGCCCGGTGATGGAAGGAAGGAACGGAAGGAGGAAGGAAGGTCAAAAGGGAGGAAAGAAAGGATGGATGGATGGAGAAAGAAGGAGAGAGGGAAGGAAGGAAAGACAAAAGGGAAGAAGGAGATGAAAGGGAAGGAGGAAGGAAGGAAGGAAAGAAGAAGAGGAAGGAAAGGATAAAGGAAAGGGAAGGAAAGAGGAGAAGGAAGGAGAAAGAGGGAGGTAAGGAGGAAAGAAAGAGATAAGGAAGGAAAGACAAAAGAGAGGGAAGGATGGAAGGAGAGAGAGGGAAGGAGGGAGGAAAGAGGGAAGGAAGGAAAGACAAAAGGAAAGAAGGATGAAAGAGAAAAGAAGGAAAAAGGAGGAAGGGAGAGGAGGAAGGAAGGGAAGGATAAGATAAAGGAAAGTGATAGGATAAAGGAAAGTGATAAGGAAGGAAAGACAAAAAGGAAGGAAGAGAAGGAACGTAAAAGAAGGAAGGGAGGGAAGGAAGGAAGGGAAGGACAAGATAAAGTAAAGTGATAAGGAAGGAAAGACAAAAAAGAAGGAAGAGAAGGAAGGAAAAAAGAAAAGGAGGAAGAGGAGAGGGAAGGAAGGAAGGGAAGGATAAGATAAAGGAAAGGTGATAAGGTAGGAAAGACAAAAAGGAAGGAAGGAGAAGAAAGAGAAGGAAGAAAAGACATGAAGGAAGAAGAAAGTGGGAGATAAAGAAGAAGGAAAAAGAGAAGGAATGAAAGACAAGGAGGGGGAGAAGGATGGAAGGAGAAAGAGCGAGAGAGGGAAGGAAAGAAGGAGAAAGAAAAAGAAGGAAAGGATGAGAGAGAAGGAAAAGGGAGGAAGGAGGGGAGGGAGGGAGGAAGGAAGGAAGGAAGGAAGGAAGGAAGGAAGGAAGGAAGGAAGGAAGGAAAGGATACGATAAAGGAAAGAAAGAGAAAGAGGGAGAGAGGAAAGGATGGAGGGAACAGGGAAGGAAGGAGAAAAAGGGAGCGAGGAAAGGAGGGAGGGAAGAGGGAAGGAAGGAGAGACAAAAGGGAAGGAAGAAAGGATGAAAGAGAATGAAGGAAAAAGAAGGAAGGGAGGAACAGAAGGAAGGGAYGAAGGGAAGGATAAGATAAAGGAAAGTGATAAGGAAGGAAAGACAAAAAGGAAGGAAGGAAGGAGAAAAAAGGAGAGAGGAAAGGAGGGAAGAAAGGAAAGATAAAAGGGACAAAGGGAAGGATGTAAGGGAAGGAGGAAGGAAAAAGAAGAAAGGAGGGGAGGAAGAGAAAGCAGGAAGAAAGAAAAGGATAAAGGAAAGAGAGAGGAAGAACAGACAAGGAGGAAAGGACAAAGGGGAGGCAAGGAGGAAGCAAAGAGAGAACAAGAAAGGACAAAGGGGAGGGAAGGAGGAAGGAAAGAGAGAAAGAAGGAAGTATGGAATGGTGAGAGAGAGGAGGACCTGAGAAAAGAAAGGGGAAGAGGAAAACGGTCAGCATGTGCTGCCTTTTCCCTCTGTTTGCAGTGGAAAGTGGGAGAAACCAGGCTTAGCAAAACATTTTCTGTGGCTAGCCCATGGAATCAGGCCATCTTCCCCTTCTGCCTGGTTCCTGCTGGCCTTTGGGGTAGTCCGTTCTTCTTGGCAGTTCTGGGCAGCTATGAGGCCATTAGTCCCTAAGGATGAGCCTGCATGCGTTGTGGTGGCAGCTTTTGAGGCCTTTACATCTTTGCCTCTTCAGTTACACTTCAGTGCCGTTGCTGTTTCCGTGGCCGTTCCGGTGTGGATCCGCAATCCAGACATTGACCTCAAAATCTGCATGTATGACAAACTTTATCAAGACTGCATCGTCATTCAAAGCAGGTGAGCGACCTGCTTAGGGAGGAATTACTAATCTCAAGAATAAAATTGGCCACAGTCTCACAAAAGAGTGCGTCAGAGTTGTTCAGAAGATACGGAATCTTATAACACCCTTGCCATTGATGGAATTCCTGTATTTCATCCATGTATTATCATATTTAGGGCATACAGTTTATTTATTTATTTATTTATTTATTTGCACTATGTATACCCCACCTTTCTCTACCCCGAAGGGGACTCGAGGTGGCTCACATAGAGGGTTGTCGCCTGTAGTGAGGGAGAGAGACTATTTCTTTATTTAAGAAAAACCTCTGTACTCTTAAATTGATTCAGTTTCTTCTTTTATATTAGCTGGGACTTTCTGTGTGCTGTTTAACCTTTGTACAGACAATGAGACACTCTTCTGTATGACAAAGTAACACAGTTTATTTATAACTTCTGGCTCCAGCACTTGTGGTTACATTTGTGTTTTGTTGCAATTTTGAGGCTTACAGTCAGTATAATATGCTTGGTTTACTTTTCTGAAGTAGACTTTCAATGTTTCACATTCACAAACATGTTACTTGCTTTACACACTCTGGACTGAAATTATTTTCTAACTAAAACACCACTGGCTTTCTTTATGTTCCTAAAACTTATGTTCTATTTAACTAACTGTTTCTCTATATCAGTAGTCTTTAACACATCTTCATAACTACTTATTCCTAACAGGAGTTCCTAACTCTTTTTTCTCACAGAAGTTCCTAACTGTCTCTCACAAACAGGAATCCCTAACTACCTTCACAAACAGCAATTCCTAACTAACTCACACACAGCAATTTCCTAACTAACTCTTTTGACTCTGTAACTGTTTATTTTTAAACTTTGGCTCCGCCCCTTTGGAATGTTTAGCTCTGTTTTTCCCAACAGTCATCTTGGCCAAGCAACCTCTTCAAATCCTGGGCCTACACTAATCTGCATATGACCAATCGGCTTCCATATGCAAATGACTCCTATCTCTCCTGTTGCTACCCTGTCTGTGCCTATTCTTCCCTATCTGCCATATGTAAACATAGAGCTATACACCAAAAATTTAACATAGAGTAGCAATTTCGCTACATTGCCATTTAACCAAACCGAGCATCCTCTCCACATTCTCTTTCGGATTTCTACCTGGACTTTTCCTTCCATTCATTTTCTGTTAGCTCGATGTCGGCCGGCTATTTTTAACTTGGTTTGCTTTCTTTCTATTTTAAATCCCACTTAAATACAAGCAAATATTATTATTCGTATTCCTTTTATACCCTTGCTGTTGGGAGGCAGACATTCTCGGCGGCTCGCTCAAATTAGACACAACGGAGATTCTTCACAGTTGGGTGGAAATGAATAAAGCCGTTATCTCCAAAATTCAGCTTACAAATGTGACAAGTGTCGAATTATGTAAGAGACTTGCCTGGGTCTAGTACAGGATTAGGAGTACAGAGACGGAATAACTTTTCTATCAGATCAATGCCATTTCATTCTTCATTGCACAACCCAGGTTTTTAGAGGCTCCTGCAGGAAAGATGTGAAATTACGGACTTACACCCATCCATTTTGGCTTTTTTTTTTGTATCCTTATGACTGTAGTAAGCACCGTTTAGAAAGCAAATAATACTAGCCTAACAGGACCAAAAATGTATAATATCACAAAGGACGACCACCTCACCCGCCTGATAGGAAACCTGCTACAAAACAGGAGCTTTTTTGTTGAGTTCCAGGGCCAGAGAAGCAGATGGCAGAAACAGAAGAGCGGCCTGCCTCAGGGGAGCGTGCTTGCTTCATCCATGTTCAACATCTACACAAATGACCAGCCACTGCCAGAAGGGACAGAGAGCTTCATCTATGCTGATGATCGTGCCATCACCGCTCAAGCAGGGAGCTTTGAGATGGTTGAACAGAAGCTCTCCGAAGCTCTAGGTGCTCTTACTGTCTATTACAGGGAAAACCAACTGATCCCTAACCCATTTAAAACACAGACGTAGGCCTTTCATCTCAAGAACAGAGAAGCATCCCAAGCTCTGAGGATGACCTGGGAAGGAATCCCACGGGAACTTTGCAGCGCACCCAAATGCCTGGGAGTCACCCTGGACTGTGCACTGACCTACAAGAAGCACTGCCTGAACATCAAGCAAAAAGTGTGCGCTAGAAACAATATCATACAAAAGCTGACCGGCACAACCTGGGGATCACAACCAGACACAGTGAAGACATCTGCCCTTGCACTATGCTACTCTGCTGCTCAGTATGTATGCCCAGTGTGGAACACATCTCACCACGCTAAAACAGTGGTTGTGGCTCATAATGAGACATGCTGCATTATCACGGGGTGTCTGCGCCCTACACCACTGGAGAAATTACACTGCTTAGCCGGTATTGCACCACCTGACATCCGCCGGGAAGTGGCAGCCAATAGTGAAAGGACCAAGGCAGAGACATCTCCAGCTCATCCCTTGTTTGGGTATCAGCCAGCACGTCAACGACTTAAATCTAGAAATAGTTTTCTAAGATCTACAGAGACACTCACTGGAACACCTCAGCAAGCGAGAGTCCAAAAGTGGCAGGCTCAAACCCAGCACCTCAATCCGTGGGTGATACCAGATGAGAGACTCTCCCCTGGGCACACAGAAGACTGGGCGACTTGGAAGGCGCTGAACAGACTGTGCTCGGGCACCACGAGATGCAGAGCCAACCTCAAGAAATGGGGCCACAAAGTGGAATCCTCGACATGCGAGCGTGGAGAAGAGCCAATCACTGACCACCTGCTGCAATGCCACCTGAGCCCTGCCACATGATGCACCATGGAGGACCTCTTTGCGGCAACACCAGAGGCACTCCAAGGGGCCAGATACTGGTCAAAGGACATTTAATCATCTACTAAGTTTGCAAAATCTGTGGGTTTTTTTATCTGTTTATTTGTTTTGTTCTGTTAGAAATGTAATACAATGTTCTGGTTGCTGATGACACAATAAATAAATAAATAAATAAATTTCCCCTCTTACATACATACCCAGCTCCCTCAGGCACTCCTCAGAGGACAAGGTTTCCAGTAGACCTTCTGACCATAGGACAGAGTCGGCATCAGGCCCACTCAGGCTTTCCACTTCTTTTCTTTTCTTTTTCAGAGCCACCAGTGCCCTACGCTTACAGTTTGATGTTTGCAAGGAATTGGACAACCACATGGAGCTGCTTCCAAAAACGGGCTACATCCAAGCACAGTCATCTTTCAGTGTGCAGCTGAAATTTCTGCCAAGGTAGATTTCCATTGTTGCGCCTCTTGGTACCAAATACTTTATTGTATATTGACTGACAGTATTCCCCGTCCTTCTTTCCCCAAAACAGCTTGCAGAAATGTTAAAACAGTTGGTGACAACATTTTGAAAATAACAAACGTCTGGAATCTTAGGCATTTAATATTTTTTACAACATTTATATGCCGCCCTTCTCACCCCGAAGGGGACTCGGAGCGGCTTACAAGAAATATATATATATATATATATATATATATATATATATATATATACACATCACATACACATACAACATATTATATTATTAGCATAGTACAACATCAGTATTATATATTACCATATTGTACTACACCATTATATTGTAATATTATTAGTAACATTACATGTAATATAAAATATAATAATAATAATAATAATAATAATTAGTATTATATTGTATTACATTATAATATTATTCACTTTCACTTCACTTCACTTAGGCGATCCCTCGCTTTCCGAGGATGATTGTCTTCCAATATTCTTGTGGGTCCGTATGTGGCTGTGGAGCCCTATTCTTGCTCTGCATCTTCTTCCGCAGTGAGGGCATTGGTTTCCAGGTGGAAGGCGGTCTCGGCCGGGGTTGGCTTGACGCGCCTTCCTCTTGGCACGTTTCTCTTTTTCACCCTCCACTCGTGCCTCCTCAAATTCTGCAGCACTGCTGGTCACAGCTGACCTCCAGCTGGAGCGCTCAAGGGCCAGGGCTTCCCAGTTCTCACTGTCTATGCCAGAGTTTTTAAGGTTGGCTTTGAGCCCATCTTTAAATCTCTTTTCCTGTCCACCAACATTCCGTTTTCCGTTCTTGAGTTCGGAGTAGAGCAACTGCTTTGGGAGACGGTGGTCGGGCATCCGGACAACGTGGCCGGTCCAGCGGAGTTGGTGGCGGAGGACCATCGCTTCAATGCTGGTGGTCTTTGCTTCTTCCAGCACGCTGACGTTTGTCCGCTTGTCTTCCCAAGAGATTTGCAGGATTTTCCGGAGGCAGTGCTGATGGAATCGTTCCAGGAGTTGCATGTGACGTCTGTAGACAGTCCACGTCTCACAGGCATAGAGCAGGGTTGGGAGGACAATAGCTTTATAAACAAGCACCTTGGTATCCCTACGGATGTCCCGGTCCTCAAACACTCTCTGCTTCATTCGGAAAAATGCTGCGCTTGCAGAGCTCAGGCGTTGTTGTATTTCGGTGTCGATGTTGACTTTGGTGGAGAGGTGGCTGCCAAGGTAGCGGAAATGACCAACATTTTCTAATGTTACACCGTTAAGCTGTATCACTGGCATTGGAGAGGGGTTGGCTGGTGCCTGCTGGAAAAGCACCTTGCTGGAAAAGCACCTATTATAAATATTATATGTATATACAATATATTATATTGTATTTATTGTATTGTATTATTAGCATAGCACAGGAGACAGGGTGGAACTGTCTTCTGCCCCCTCTCTCTTCACTCTGGCCCAGAGCAACACAGTAGCCTTGAATAGCCTTTCAGCTTCAAGGTCTGACTGCTTACTGCCTGGAGGAATCCTTTGTTGGGATGTGTAAGCTGGCCCTGATTGATTCATGTCTGGAATCCTGTTTTCTGAGTGGTGTTCTTTATTTACTTTACTTATTTATTTATTTATTTATTTATTTATGTTCTTACCATACGTCAAGGCTAAGCCGCTCCTCATAGGGCTTTTTCTCCAGACCCTTGATCATGCTAGTCGCCCTCCTCTGGACACTTTCCAGCTTGTCAACTCTCACATATTTATACATGGCTATCCTGTCTCTTCTCAACTTTCTCTTCTTCAGGCTAAACATGGCCAGCTCTTTAACCCGCTCCTCATAGGGCTTGTTCTCCAGACCCTTGATCATTTGAATCACCTTCCTCTGGACACATTCTGGCTTGTCAACACCTCCCTTCAATTGTCCAAAATAATAATAATAATAATTACAATAATAATAATTAGAATAATAATGTGGAATGTCACCTTGAGGGTCATCTAAAGCACAACTAATGCACTCTTGAAAGACAGTAACCCAGTTCCTGTTACTATAACAATTTCCAGTCCAAAAACTTCCAATGTGGTGGACCGCTGCATCGCTATTGTCAAGTAGATGGAGAGGCACACAGCTCGGATTAACCGTGTTAATCTGCATTTTTTTAAAAATCGAGAAAAGCTTCAAAAGGAGATTTGATGCGATTAAGGCAGTTCTGGCTCATGAAATAAGCTTTGGAGTGGTTAACAAAACAGAGACAGCAAAGCGGGTGGGCGTGGGGGTTGAACCACAAGCTTGGCTGCTGAAAAGGCCGAGTTAGTGGCACATAACGACAATGCTCGAGTGCTCCTGAGAGCAGAATACAGCCTCTCTTTCAGTGGCCATGCTGCGGGAATTCATCCATTCAGATGGTGAAATGACAACTCCCATCAGGCAGAGCTGTAAGACTTCACATTCTAACTGTAGGATTGAGTTCCTATGGGGAGAAAGTAGACCATGTCCCAGAAGCATTCTCTCCTGATGTTTCACCCACATCTATGGCATGCGTCCTCAGAGGTTGTGAGGTCTGTTGGAATCTAGGAAAATGCAGTTTATATATCTGTAATGTAATGTAAATGTAATGTTCATTTGTGGGATTAACAGAACTCAAAGACCACTGGACAAATCGACACCAAATGTGGACACAAGACACGTAACAACCCAATGTATGTCTTTCGCTTGAGAGTTGTATTTGCTGGGATTTATAGTTCACCTACAATCCAAGAGCATTCTGAACCGCACCAGCGATGGAATTGAACCAAACTTGGCACACACTTCTCCCATGACCAACAGAAAATACTGGAAGGGTTTGGTGGGCATAGACCTTGAGTTTTGGAATTGTAGTTCACCTACATCCAGAGATCACTGTGGACTCAAACAATGATGGATCTGGGCCAAACTGTACACGAAGACTCAATATGCCCAAATGTGAACACTGGTGGAGTTTGGGAAAAATAGAATCTTGAGTTGTAATTGCTGGGATTAATAGTTCACCTACAATCACAAAGCGTTCTGAATCCCACCAACGATAGAATTGGGCCAAACCTCCCCCACAAAACCCCCATCTGGGCCACAGCAAACTAACAACAGGAGCCCAGTAGTGCCCAGCTAGACATTAGTATAGCCGTTACGTTGTGATATGCAGGCATCTTCAAGAGAACATGATGGAGTTTTGAGACTTGGATCCTTTCTTTCTGTCTGGTGTGATTGACACCGTGGCTTATGCAACCTTGGGACTTGAATCTCTCTTTGGCCGTGGAAAGCCATGGGGTGGTCTTGGGCAAGGTGCACCCTGTCAGAGGAAGGCGATGACAAGCCCACACTGAAAATACATCTCATGATGAGGGTCACTAGAGCAAGTCAAGCCTGAACTTTTGATAGAAGCCAAGATGACTAAACGGCATGTCATATTTTTGACAGATCATGAGAAACATGACTCACTAGAAGAAAAATATGCTTGGAAAGGTAGAAGGCAACAGATAGGATGACTTTGGAGGGCCCTCATTCATGGACTTGCCATAAATCAAACTTGAGTCAACAACAGTTAACGGCAACATCACTTTCAGGTTGACAAAAGGCAGAAACAACCATTCTTCAATAGCAATAGATGGGACTTCAGATAAGTTCTGTTACTAATAGCTCCCTTATGAAAATGTTATTTATTTATTTCGAGTACTTCTACCCCGCCCTTCTCAACCCGCGAGGGGGGACTCAGGGTGGCTTATGAAAGGCACAATTCGATGCCTACACAGTAATACACATACGTATAACACAGCAATTAAAACAATTATAACAGTTAAAACCATCAATATATAACACAATCAATAAAACTAATCTCATGCTCAGCGTTCATCCTTCAGAGTTCCATAATTCCATTCCACTTTGTCCATTCTTGTCAATCGTCAAAGTCAGGTTGTCCAAATCCCTGGTCCCAAATCCATGTTTTCAATTTTCTCCTAAAGGAAAGGAGGGATGTCGCTGATCTAATTTCCCCGGGGAGCGAATTCCACAGGTGAGGGGCCACCACCGAGAAGGCCCTGCTCCTCGTCCCCACCAATCTCACTTGTGATAGAGGCGGGGCCAAGAGCAGGGCCTCCCCAGAAGATCTTAGACTCTGAGGTGGGACTTAGAGGGAGATCCGTTCGGACAGATACACTGGGCCAGAACCGTATAGGGTTTTGTAGGTCAAGACCAGCACTTTGAATTGAGCTTGGAAGTGGACAGGCAGCCAGTGGAGCTGACACAACAGGGGGGTGGTATGCTCCCTGTATGACGCTCCTGTAAGTACTCTGGCTGCCTTCCGCTGGACTAGTTGGAGTTTCCGAACAGTCTTCAAAGACAACCCCACGTAGAGTGCGTTGCAGTAATCTATCTGGGATGTAACAAGAGTGTGGACCACCGTGGCCAGATCCGACTTCCCAAGGTACGAGCGCAGCTGGCACACAAGTTTTAATTGTGCAAAAGCTCTCCCGGCCACCGCTGAGACCTGGGGTTCCAGGCTCAGTGATGAGTCCAGGATCACTCCCAAGCTGTGAACCTGCGTCTTCAGGGGGAGTGTAAGCCCATCTAACACAGGCTGTCACCCTATGCCCTGTTCGGCCTTACAACTGACCAGTAGGACCTCTGTCTTGTCTGGATTCAATTTCAATTTGTTAGCCCTCATCCAGTCCAACACAGCGGCCAAGCACCGGTTCAAAGTTTGGACAGCCTCCTTGGTAACAGGTGGAAAGGAGTGACAGATTTGGACATCATCTGCATAGAGATAACATCTCATTCCGAAACTCCGAATGATCTCCCCCAGCGGCTTCATGTAGATGTTAAATAAAAGACTACATATATGTGCAGAGGTGGCCCTAGGTAAGCAAACTGTATTTTGGTGCCCTCCCCCCAGCCAATCATTGATATATATTTTCTGTTCGTGGTGGGAGTTCTGTGTGCCATATTTGGTTCAATT